GGGGGGGGGGGGGGGGTGTACTCATAGTCGTGCATCCCGTTGTCGTTAGACCATTGACGTCGCATCCCTACTAAGCCGGGACGGAGCACGCCGGGTTCTCACCGGACCACGCTCTCACATCACCAAGCGCGAAGCGCCGTGAGGTATTCGGCGAGTCGCATGAAGGGTGAGCTGCATCCTGCTAAGGGTGTTCGGCATCTTGTGCTTGCTTCCTTGCGTACGGATGACAGCTGCGTATGACTTAATTTATTTTCTGGTGCTTTCACTTCCAGAGACAGTTGTATGCACTGTGTAACTGCCTCGAGGATGCTTGACCATTTTAACACATCGTGGTGCGATCATCCCCCTTGCGCGGAGTGAGGGTTCTCGACCCCGCACAACATGATCTACTCGACCACCATTCATGGTTACCGCCAAAAAAAAAACAAAGGTAAAAAAAAAATACGGTAACCTGGTTGCCGAGTTCACGAGGTGAATTGGCTTGTTTTACAACGTCGTTGCCAAGCGGCGAAAACCCAATCCCGATGGCGAACACCGAGGGGCGGACGGGGGGGGGGGGGGGTAGTTTCAGGGTAGATAGGACCAGCAAGCAGTGCCTTGCCTGCAGAATACGACATCGTCGGTGCCGTTGGCGCCGTCCAAGAAACGGCCCATCTCGCTCAGCGCCCACACGTCTCCCTTCCCGTAAGAAGAGCTGGCCTCCTTGCTTTCCGACAGGCTCAAGATCTGGCACAACGAGGGGTGGCGGAGAGCAAAAGGCGCCACTTTGCACAACGAAGCGCGAAACTGGCACCATCCATAAAACAAGAGGGAACACCAGGGCAGAGATTCCCCGAAAAAGTGCCAGCGATCGCACACCCACTGGAAGACTGACTACCTGCCTGTACCGCTACGGGCCCGGGAGAAAGAAAACGGCGACGTCGGGTCCAGGCCCAATGTCTTGGTTCGTCGCCGCCGTCGAGTACAGGTTACAGATATTTCTTGGAGTGGTGTAGGGTTCATCGCGAAGCTGAAGTTTCGTAACCTCCAATTCTTAAAATGTTGGTGAGCCCCTGTTTCAAAACGGACTCCTACTCTTTAAAGGTGGGCCGGAAATGTCGGGTGCGAAAACCGACGATTGTGTGCCAGAATCTATTTTCCAATACAACGCTCGTGCAATCGACCGAGCCGAGAACGTTGGCCTGTATGGGGTGTTCAATCACTCGCGTGCGTTGATAATTGTGTTCGATGACCCCCATGCGGTGGACAGGAGATAGTGCGTACAACATCAAGGCAGTCTTAGGGGGAGGGGAACGACAAACAGCGCGAGGGGGTTTAACAAACGAACATGTGCTGATACGTGCCTAAATCTGACGAGATTGGCAGGAGAACGCAAGATATTAGGAGGCTGGTAGTGGCCGGACGAGATGGGGCAGGAGCAGAAACGAAGGAACCAAACCACGGCTGGCGGGATACTCGGTAACTCGGGGTGGTCGAGGAATGCACAAAGAGCTTGATGGCACTAGAAGGGGTGATGGTGTCCGCCACGAAGGCTGGCGAACCTTGAGATATAGCTTCCCGCTGGTTTTGCTGCTGCTGCTGCTGCTGCTGTTGCTGTTGCCCTTGCTGTCGCTGTCTTCGTCTTCGTTATCGTCGTTGTCGTCGCTACCCCGTCGCCCCCGCCATTGCCGTCGACGCTTCCCTCCCGACTGGTTGCCCCATCCACTGCTCTTGCTCCCGCCGCCGCCGCCGCCGCCGCCGCCTAGCAAGCAGGCGAGAGACGTGAGGAGGAGGGAGAGGGGGGGAGGAGAAGGGAAAGGTGTATCCGTCAATGATGTTCTCACGAGGCGCGGTGAGCCAGACAACATTACCGCCACCCACGATCCCGCCACTCGTGGGACTCGCCGTTGCTGTTGTTGTGAGAGATAGATCAATGATCGCAACTCGTAGAAGCAATTTACGCAAGAAATTGACGCGGTGTTGACTTCTCGCTCGCCTTCCGCAGGACGCCTTCCTGTTCCCGCCTTGCGCCCAAATGCTATCTTCATACCATGACTCTCACGCAAATCGTTTACCGGTTGCCGCTACATATCCGTGCAAACCAAGGTTATCACTTCTCACGGACCCCCCCTCCCCCAAAACGCGTTCAACCCCCTTGCAGCCTCTCACCAGCCCGAAACAAAGAGACGCTGGAGTAATACGGGATGCCTTCGCGGCGGAACAGCTTCTGCCGCCAGAGAGGGTCCCGTCGGTCCATTAGACCGACTCGCGCCCCGCCCCTGCCGGAACTGGAACCGGAACCGGAACCGGAACCGGAACCGGAACTCGCGATGGTTGCGAGGTTTGCCTTGGCTCTCTCGAAGCGCGTCACTACGGCCTCGTCGAGCATCAGTTGCATCTCCTCCTTATTTTCGTCAACGCAAATGATTCACGGGAAGAGGGAGAGGGGCTTGATACTCACTTATTTCTAACTTTATTTCTCAGTGAAAACGGACTAAAGCAGCCTCAATTAAGTCCAGTGCCAGTGCTTCCTTCGAAGACTACAGTAGACTTCATCCACACACCCCTCCGTTAACATTATCGAACGGATACTCCCTTCTGTGGTGCCATGTGTGTTGTTCTAAAACGTTATTACGTCAGGGACGGTGTGTGTGTTTGTAGTGTGTGCAAGTGCTCGTCGTCCTTTCGATCGGGGGTAGGTTGGTGGTTCGTGTTTCGGTTTTTGTCAGCGGAGATAGGGGGAAACGAGGGCGACAGCATGGCGCTATGACAAAACGACAACAGCCTGTCCGGCCTTGTTATCGCGGCCTTAACACAGGGACTACCATTTTTGTTGCCTAAACGAACTGCGAATGGCATCAGGGTCGATTCATGCAACGCACCACTACTGTGCACCATTTTCTCGCAAAGACCGGAAGCGAGGCGAGGGGCAAAGCAACCACCGTGACATATATAATCACACCACACACCTGCATGGCGCGAGAAAAGACACGGCGGTAAGCCACCTCGTCCGCGAAGCCGTTCGGTACCCATGTCGTCCTCGTTGGCCAGGCACCTCCGCCCCCTCCTCTTCCATTCGACGCCGAACGAGGGGCAACTACACTCTCCTGCTGCTGCTGCTGTTGCTGTTGCTGCTGCTGGTGGACCGGCGTAACCAACGGGTGCCGCCCCGACGACCCTTTCCTTGCCCCGCTCCCCGCACCCCCGCCGCCGAACGTTAGCTTGAAACGCGGCATGAGCACGGCGGGACTGTCGGTGCTATCCTTCGCGCTGTGAAATTTTCGAGGGGCGGCAGGCAGCGGTGGCGGTGGCGGCGGCCGCACCTCGGTATCGATCGCGACGCCACCAGCAGCGGCGGGCGCTGCTGCCGTGTCCAGTGGTAGGCTGCGGCGGGCTACGCCGCATCGTTTCAATGGGAGAAGAGGGCCGGACTGTAATAAAGGCAAAGCCGGTGGCTTTGGTGGCTGCTGGTAGGGCGTTGCCTTGGATGGGGCGACGAATGCTTTCCGTTTCGCAGGCGGCAGCACCTGCGGCGGCGGCAGCAGCGGCGGGGCTCCGGAAGTGACCCCGTTGTTGCCAATGCCATCGATTGCTGGTGGCGGTTGCTGCTGCTGCTGCTGCTGCTGCTGCTGCTGCTGCGGCTGCTCATGATGAACCGCCGGGGACAGCGTCGAAGACGACAAGGAAGTCGACGGTGACGATGGTTGCAGGGGTCGACGATGACGACGAAATTCCCCCAGCTTCTTCCCTTGGTCATGCTTCTGGCCCTGCAGTTGCCCCTGTTCCTGCTCCCTCTGCTGTGAAACGTGTCCTGCTTTCTTCGGTTGTCCCCCATCCAGTCTGGCCGGCGCCTTAAACTTTCCCCTCCGGGCCATCGGCATCCCTATACCAGCACCAGCACCAGCACCAGCACCACCAGTTGTGGGCTTTTGAAGTTGGATCTGCTGTCCCATCTGCGTGATCCCGGTGGCGGCAGTGATGGTACCAACCGTCGCCATCATCGCCTCGCTGCTACCGTCACGGCCGCCGCTGCCGCTGCTGCTCCTGGTTTCTCCGACCTGGACGGCGTACCGGCCGATTCGAAATTCATCGCCCTCTCGCAGCTGCTGCGGCAACGACGTACCGCAACCCGCTCCCCCGCCGCCACCGCCGCCACCGCTCTCTGCCTTTCCAGAAGCGAGGGTCTGGGTGTTGGACTCGTTGCGGAGCTGCAGCTTGTTGCAGCCGCGGTGGAATACGAGGGTGCCGTCGGTCCAGCTGCGGACACGGCGACGACGGAGGGGGCGGGGGGGGCGGGCGGGAAGGAAAAACGTTGACGACGGGAAGGAGAGGTCGATCAGATACTTCGTGGAGGGTGCGGGAGTGGTGTTGTCGAGCTATACATGATTCTGGCGTTCGACCTGTGGCTAAATATGTGAGGCGATACATATCGCTGCCTTGCTGTCCCCCCGACAAGCGCTATGAAATAGCCCTGCCGTAGGCTACCAAGTTGTGGCACCCTACGCCTGAATACCCCGACTACGTGTAGACTAAACTGCATAAGTACAATATTTTCTTCATCTGCATACTCGGTCGACTCGTAAGGCTGGCTACACGTAGTCTATCTATAGTACGGGGATTTCCATTATTTTCAAGGCGAGCCAGGCGTTGCTGCAGAACGCGAGCGTGCAAACGACAGACTGCACGTAATGTGCATGATGTTTTTTTTTTCATGACTTGGCAACCCTTTTTGGCAATAGTATGCCACAACTGCTGTGGTGTGCATGTGGATCAAAAATGGCTCACGAAATTCAAAATTCAAAATGTTGCGATTGGCAACCATCACAATCTACTGATACTTGAGCACGGACGCATCATACTTCGGGCAATGAAGCGACCAGCGTACCGTTTTCTCTTCTTCGTCGGATGGTCACAGGAGAAAACGCAAGACCACAGGTCATCCTCCATGCTGGCCCCGCTGCTGTGTGTGATGCTATTGCTGTGTGTATCACTCTCCATGTCTCAGGCACGTGAAGGCTGGGAGAAGCGGAGCTCCGTGTGCTCGCGCCACTGGTTGGTTGAGGCGTTGAGGCGGGACAATTGAATGATCCCCGAAACCCCCCGCCGCGATCCGCGGGAAGGCAGCCACAGGGACAGGACACACCACACGAAGACTCTTGCTGTCTGAACCGAACCGCGTGGAGTGTGTGAAGGAAGGTGAGTTGGCAAGCCCATGAGCGTCCTATTCCACTGTCTGTGCCGACACCGTTTTAGTCCATCGATTCCCGTACAACGGGTTGTTTTGCTGGCACCATATGTAGACATTTGATGCAATGCTAGCAAACCTTGCAGCTGCAAAACTATCAACATCAAGTTGGTCTCGCGTCTCGCCCTCATCTCCCCCGCACCAGCATCCAGCGTATGGCAAACAGTTGCAGGTCTCCATTTCTCTTTCTCTCTCTGTCCCTCTTCCCACCTCCCTTTCGTGGGTGGTTTGTGTAGGAAGGTACACAAGTACCTGATGTACCGAAAACTTTTGAGGCAACGCAGACCCCCGTCAAGCTGTACAGCATCTTGCTTCTCCAAGGACCCTGCTAACCAAGAGCAAAGACACACACACGCCCCGGGGCAACACGATGGTCCGACCAGGCGTTATCGGCAACGCTGTAGCGCACCATGAGACCCGGTTTGAATCGGCGTGCGTCATAGCACCAAGTTTGGTCGTTGATAAGTTCAGTTGAAGTATCATTATGCGCAGATGACATGGCCGGACTGGACGTGTTGAACAGCCTGCTGGCTGTACCGCTGGCTCTCTTTCGAGAAAGAAAGATCTTCAAATCATCAGTGTATAGACTTAAATAGACTTGAAATACAAGTATACGTCCAGTACCCAGCCGGTTTTCCTCCACTCACGAAAAAGACTCCACCACATCCCGTTCGAATGTGGGTATATCTACAGTAGAAAGGGTAATCTTCAGATCAAGAGATCCCTTGCCAGAACGTGCGAATGTGCGTCGGGAAAGGGTTCTCTACATCTACTGCTGTAGCACAACGTCAAGCCACAACGTCCGTCCTGCTCCAAGTGGTTCGGTTTCCCCCCCTCCACTCTGATTGTTGCCCCATGAACAACAACACGCAACGAGTACAACCACACAACAGCAGTAACAATAGCGGCACCTACAACAAGAACTTTTTAAGGTCTGTCTTTGTGTTTGTGTTTATTTTTCCCAACACCAGAGTGCGAGACTGCCCGGTCTAACCATAGGAGGGGGTCCAACCCCCCCCCCCTCCTATGTGACCCCGGTTGGGTCGTTTAGCTAGTAGAAGTGGAGGATAGGGGCCAGAGGGGCAGACGACAGAATCCAATGATGGGAGAAAAAAAAAAAAAAAAAGCAGGAGTGGCATGACTTTCCTACCACTGCCACGCCAGTGTGTGGAGAGCGAGAGCACTCGAAGCCGCTTTTTCATGCTACCACACATGTCGTACAAACGCCGCAACCACTGAACATGGGAGTAAATATGATTGGCCTATCCAGAACAAGTGCTAGGGTGCTCAGTCAAGATTAATATTCCTACACTGAAACGTAGTTGTAGCTGTTGGGTTGAGCTTGACAGGAAAATGTTTCTGCGGATAGACATGAACTCGTTGTGCGTAGAAAGAAAAACCCAGCCTCGTGCAATACAGTAGCAGGTGTAGGTTTCTTCACAGCTAGTGCCTCAACAATCGGTATTCCCAATCCCAAGTGTATTTGTTCTTTCTCTGAATACCCCAGCAATATTATAGTGCTCAACAAAGCAGTGGTGAACATTCTGCGGTACATACCTGCATTGCCCTTTCGACCCGTTTCACCTTCATTTCTTTTTTTTTTTCTATACATTGTGAGCGAAGGACCAACACACGCGGGACAAACTTCCACCGCTTCAACTGCAACCACCTGCCAGAGAGAGGACATCGATCCCACCGAAGAGACGCGATGGAACCTATCACCGGCTTTCAGGGGCTAATGGCTGCGGGGGGGGCGGGGGTCCCGCCGGGGGGAGTCGCGGCCGCGACCGGAGCGCCGCACCAGATGATACCCACCGTATCCGGGGACAGCGGCGAGGACTCGGTTAGCAACGACGGCAAGCGCAAGACCGAGATGGCGAAGGAGCGCAATCGCCTTCACGCCAGGTGGGGGGGTTGCTTGTATGGGTGTGTCTTTGTGTTTGATTTTGTGTCGAAACTCAGTACCGCACCGGCTGGCCAATGAAGAGACGCCAGTCTTTTGGAGCTTTCGTTTCGGTGGCCATGACGACCATGGCAACCCCTCCCCCTCTTTCTTCTCTGCCGACAATATCGCTTTTGGTGTGTCACCTCGACAACCTCTCTATCTCTATCTCTCTATATATATGTGTGTGTATGCCTCTCGCTCGCTCGCTCTCACACACACTCTCTTTATCTCCATCTCTATCTCTTACTGCTGTGACTTTTGTCTCTCTCGGCGGTGATCATGACGGATATCACTTCCGATGCCCATGCCAGGAACACGCGCGCCCGCAAGAAGCAGTACATGGAGGAACTCAAGGATAAAGTGGAGAGTTTGCACACGAAACGGGTGAGCCGAGCCCAGGAAACGAGCGACAGAGGAGAGGGATAGGCAGCGGATAGCGCGAAGATGTGGAAGAGAGAGATATCAGGGAGGGAGGAAGGGAGGGAGACGTAGAGAGGCGGGTGAGAGCCGAAGGGAGTTGAGGATAACGGGAGGATTAGAGAGACAGAGAGAAAGAGGAAAGGATAGGGATAAAAATAGATGACGACGGATAGAGGCCGTCATATTGTAGACACTCTAGAGAAAAACACGAGAGAGAGAAAACTCTTGGAAGAGAGCGATGGAAATACAGACGAAGACACTCAAGAGACAGGCAGCGAGAGAGGACGGCGTGTCGAGTTGGAAAAGCAGCAACATAGGAGCCCCAAGCTCGCACGCTGCGATGTTCCCTTGACGTCATCTTTACGACCACTGGTCTGGTCTGAGTTGATAAACGCGCGTTTCTCCTCCGTCGCGGTTCATGTGCTTGGAACCCGAAGCCCCCGTGAGACGCTGCCGTGTATACCTCAGGAACATTCTAAAGAACATTCCACAGGAACTAGCTCAAGTTGGTTCGGTTCAGCCGACCGTGGTGTTCTTGTTTGACAAAGCAGTTATATTTGATTTTTGTGAACAAGGTTGTCTCGCAAGCGCTATATTGGAAGAAGTCGTTTTGCGTCCTGTGTCAGCACACAAACGCCAGCGGGTCGGTTTTGGACAAACCTATCGGGGCACGCACAGACAGTATTTCTCGTCCGTGCCCTGGCGCCCGACGCGCGCGCTCCGCCCCCAAAACACCTATTTATTAACTCAACTAGCCCTGTGGGCCCGCACTCAACCGCCCGTGTGTGTCCTCAACAACACTGACGACTGTGACCGAGTTAGCTGTTCGTAGGCAGTGATCGTTTCCACTTTTTTTGGACGAGGTTGCGACAAATGTTGCCGCCGCGCCACAACTCTCCTAGGCGTCTGCGGCACACAGCAAGGAGGCAACGGCCAGGAGGGAGGAAGAACAGATAGCGCGCTGGGCCGCTACGCTTAAGAAGGTGTTGGACCTTCGCTGCCAAGGCGTCATCGACCAGGCGGTATGGAATGAGGTGAGGGTGGTATGCGCGCGTACGTGTGCACGCCTGCAGAAGAGAAGGGAAGGGAAAATTCATCGAGAGCGTTGTTTTTTTTTTGTGTGTGTGCTTGTGTTCGTGGTAAGCGCTGTGGCGAACGCAACATCAACGTCCTTCGAGGAGAGATGATGCTTCGGGCGCATTTGCTACGCTGAGCGCATGACGACGCACAGCGCCCTTGTTCGAGGTCGCTCTGCGCAGATAGTGGCATCCTCGAACCGACCACTGTTTAGGGACTCGATCGCAGCATAAGTGGTGGGGACTTGGTAGATGGGGTCACACGAGACAAGACAAATGTTCGATATTTTGAATATGGTTGTTTGGAATTAGAATGGGTGTTGACGCTGCCCGATATTACTTACTCGTGTGGGTGGTTCTGTGTTTGGAATCAACGCGCCCTTGCGAGCCGGATGTTTTCTTCTCCGTTTGTTTCTTTCCTCTCCTTGACATAGTGTCTCTGTGTATGTTGCGCCATGCCAAAGTTATCGACAACCGCAACAATGAACAAAACGGCACCAAACAAGGGTGCTTGGTAGCTGAAAAATGACAACGCGCACCTAGATTACTTGCCGATCCGCAACTTGCTCGCGCCGTACGATTGCGCGTTGCACGCGGAAAAAGCTACATGAGTTGAAGCGTTGGTTGACCGGGATTCGTGACACGGGTGAAGGAGGCTGTACCCTGCTCTCTTGACGGTCATCGCAATAACAACTACATGTTCGTCCCTTCCCTCCTCTCCCTCTCTCCGCCCCCAACACGCCAGCTCCGTTCTCCGATGGACCCGACACAATCCCCCCCCCGCCGTACCCACCGCTCTTTGTGTACGACAGGTGCTGACGGAGGACTTCGAGCTGTCTCTCCCTCTCACGCCGTACCGGAAGTTTGACCCCACGGACGTGGAGGGGGGGCGCCGCCGAGTGCTTGTAGGGGTGGAGGGCATGATCTCCGACACGGCCTCCTTGACGGTGAGATACATCTTTGACGTGACGTCCTTCCTCTCTCTCCGGTCCTACTGTAGTTTCCACACACACCTCCTACCGTACCTAGATTTTACTACCTACTCCTGCTCCTAGTCCTCATTTGTAAAACGATGCACGCACACCCAGAAAGTTGATCGAGAACGCCAGTTTTCGGTGCCTCTGAGAGACCTCTGAGAGACTTTTAGCCCGAAACTCAGTTGCGTGGCCGTCCTGCCTATAGCAGGCAAGAAACGATCCCCCCCCCCCCCCCCCCCCGG